GGGATTTTGCAGTATCCTTCCCCTGCCATGCTCACCAAGCCAGACCACACCCACCAAGTCACGCCCACAGAACCAGTAGTAAAAAAAATTGGATTTCACCACTGTCCATAACCCTGGGCAGGTCACAGAAGATCAATAAAAGCATAGAAACCACAAGAAAAACTTAAAAGTGCTTCAAAAGCAACACTTCCCCCATGTCCACTTGCAACTGTACTGAGCTCCAAGCTCACTACTTAATGCTTGCAAGAACGGTTATCTCTTCAAGGCCTTCTGGAAGGCTAGAAGGGTGGGAGCCTGCCAGATCTTTAGAGGGAAGGCTATTCCATAGAGCAGAGGCTGCCACATAGAAGATATACTTCCTAGGTGAGATGTGTGCATTTAAGGGAAGGGACCTGGAGTCTATCCACCTTATCAGACCTGGTGGAAACTACAGATACCCCACATGAAATTAAGTCCTGCAAAAAACCTGGCCCTATACCATACAAGGCCTCAAAAGTGATAATCAGCACCTTGAATTGTACCTGGAAAAAGATTGGAAGCCGTATCATGCCACAGTAGCCAACTTCTATAACAATTTCTAAAGCCATGCACTGTACAATCCCAGTATTAGAACGGTCTTACATTATGCCAAGAACAATCTTACACTATGCAGAGTGCCTGGAAGAATTGATAATTGCTATGCTATGTTTGTTACCTGAACACAACTAAGGGACAAAAGTGAAATGTTTTCTTAATTTAGGATGAGCGTAACAGGGATTTTTTTTCATAGGACTTTCATTCATTTAGTTTTCAAGCCCCAACAAGAATCTTATTTTTGAATTAAGGCATGCTAGCAGATCTATCTTGATATGTTACACTAAAAGAATTTTTAAAAATCATCACCAAAAGAATTTTGAACAAAAGATCACAAAGATGAAAGACAATGGAAATCTTACTATGTTTTCTTCCATATACTTGCTAAAGTAGGTTTTCACCACTCAGTACAATCCAATATTGAAACAGGCTAAATATTAATTCTAAGACTTTAATAAATCTGATATTGATGAAATATGTTTTCTTATATAATCTCATATAGCCAATTTGGTGTAGTGGTTAAGGACTACAGTGGTTAAGAAGACCATGAGTTCTAATCTTGTTTTAAGCAAATAGCCAGCTGGGAGACCTGTGCCAGTCACTCTCTCTCAGCTCTAAGAAGGAGGCAATGGCAATCCACTTTGGAAAACTTGCCAAGAAAATTGCAGAAACTTCTCCAGTTGACAGGAATCAAAAACTGATTCAAATAAAACACGCTAACCAACACAAACATTATACAGTCTATTAAATTTTATAGTTGTGTGAAATATAAAGAAAAATAAATATTACAGTAAGTTTTATTTCAATATTCCTTTAGGTATTTTTTAAAGAAACATTCCTCATTAAAATGCTGGATATTCTGTATCCTTGAAAAGTTCAAGAAATATTGTTCCAGAGCAAAGATACTCAAAGTGTGGTCTGGTGACTCCTAGGGTCCCTAAGATTACGTCAGGGGGATCTGCAGAGTCAAATATTTTAAAATTTCTGAGTTTTAACTTCTAATGCAGTAAACATTAATAGATATCACTCACATAAACTAAAGCTCTTTGGGGTCCTCATTCATTTTTAAGAATGTAAAGGGATCTCAAAACCAAAGCACATCAAACAGCAAGATTCCCACAATATACTGACTCTGGGTAAATGAAATGATCAAAATGAAGCAAGACAATACATGGTTCTGTACTTTTAAAACTCTATGTGAATTGCTCCATGAATAAATGTTTGAAATATACCTAAAAGAAAGTAGATAACTCAGTACATGACGTAGCCCTCATTCACTAGCATAGTCTACCACTATTATTACTATGTCAGCTAACTGGTAGGTTTTTTAAAAGATGATTGCACACTAGAGCAATATTCTTTTTTAGTAAGTAAGAAAAGGAAGGAAGCTAAGAGAACAAAGCTGTGAATTTGGTCACACCCAGGGATATGTGATCATCAGATTTGGTGCCACAGTCACATGGGGAACTGTGTCTCCCTTTTGTCGCTATTTCAATGGGAAGAACAGACTAATCCCATGGCAATCTGGGCAGTTGCCTAGTTAAGAATATTAAACAATACTCTTGAAAACATCGGAATCCTCTTGAAAAGAAAATGAGAACAGCATGGTCTGTGCACATATATAAGAAGTAAATCTACATGACAGAAAGTAAAAGAATATGTTGATAGTTCTAATAAAAAAGCAACAAATAAGTAAAACATCCCGCTTCCTGAGTCATGTTTATTAATTATTAATTAATCAGTTGGAAGTCTGAAATATTGCTCTGAAGGTATTTTTCTGCTTGACATTTCTTTTAACAGGGCAAAAGAAAGGCCAGTGGAGTAATGCCAAAGCAGACAGGATGAGATCAGCTCATTCACTGTTAATTCTTACCTTTAAATCATCAGGCAATACCCCATAGTACTTATTAAGAAGTGTACTAAAGTTGATTGAAGGACTAAGGAAACAGGTCTAGGATTGGACTTATACCTAGTTTTCAAGATTTGAAACTAGCAAGCCGTGGCAACACATTTAATAAATCATGCTAAAATGGGGTTGCTTTATATGTTCTTTTAATATACACATTAAATACAGATATTTTCCAAAAGGAGAAAAAGGATATGATAATTCAACCGAATTCCTTTTCTCCCGCTCCAACACCTCCCCATATAATCAATATTGACAGAATTTTGATTACTTTTTTTCTAAATTTTAAATTGTTTAAATTAACAATAACACTAAACATTAGTATATACATTAGTTCTTGGGAAAGAATGACACCATTCTGATTCAGAGTCAAAACAATTAAATTATTTCTAATGGAATGTAAAAATAAACTTAAAACCATTGGCATTGCTTCATGTGGTCAATTTTATCAATATCCCTGTTAAAATACAGAAAAACAGACAAGGGAATTCATTGGAATTTGTTACTGCGTTTTTTATGCATCAGGTTTCAGTGAAACACACTGTCAATAGAACTACTGATTAAGCCTCCATGGGGAATAAAACCAGTTGTTAAACAAAGTGAGCCATTCTTCCAGATAAATGAGTGGCAGGTGCTTGGCAAGCCACTTTGAAATCAATCAGTTTCTATGAAATACGGGGCTAGCACTAGGCTACATCAAATAACACGACCTAACTATATCTAAATTAGAAGATCATCTCTTCCATGTCTTTTCATAAGTCCCTTCCCTTCCTGTATTCAGTTTTGTAGAAAAGAGAAATCAGGCAGCTGTAAATTACACACTATTGATTTAGTTGACCGATAGCGTGGAAGTATTTAACAAAGGTAAAAAAAAGAGCGGAGGCACCTCTTCTTTGCAGACTTAACTCCAAATAGGTGAAAACAAGGTGCAGGTTCGATAGCAGGTCGGCTGACCCCTGCGGCCCTCCCAAAGGAAAAGAATTCATTCAAGCTGCTAGTCTGGGAGGGAAGTTGATTTCTAAAGATATTGGCCAGCACAGGGAGCCTTATCGGTTTTCATGGGGACATCCAGGCGGCTGGAAGGCTCCAGCCCGATAGCTCAATTCACCTCGGTGGGATTTACTAAAAGACTACGGCGGCTAGGCTAAACCTCCCTCGTTTGAAGAAGGGAACGACCGCGGCGGGGAGGCTTTTGCCTGGAACCGGCTATTCGGCTCCTTCCCGGCTAGTCAAGAAACCCCGAACCCGAAGTTGGGGTTTTTTTTTGTAATACTAAAGAGAGTTTTCCCGCCTTTCAGCTCCCGGCGGTGAAGCCCTGCTGGCTACTTAAAGCGTTGGAAGACCGCGTCAGCCCTCGGTACAACTTCCCGCAGGAAAATGAACCTAGCAGAGGTACACAGCCTTTCGTGGGAGACCCCCTCACCCCTCCACAGGGCACACCCACCCACCCCACAGGGCACCCACGCGTGCCGCTGCGCCCAAGTCCTCTGGCGTGCAGAGGAAAGAGGATGCCAAGCAGACGGGGAAGGGAAGCGAGCCGCCGCTGCCCAACTTCCCAGCCAGTCTCTCAAGAAAGTGCAACGGCCCGTGTCTACAACGCCAGAGGTCCGGATCACCATCCGATATAAAAGCATTGGCTTCCCACCGTTAAGCGCTCGGACGGGGGACTCCCCCCCCCCTGCGTGCGGTAGGAAGGCACCTCCCGAGCGAATGGGTGAGCTAAACTTTGCACGGGGAAGCGCCTACAGCTTCTCCGCTCCCCGCGGAGAAGCCGCTTTGCTTAATAGCCGCGCTCTCCCCGTGCCCTCGCCGCCGCTATACGAGATACACGGATAACCACCGCTTCTTGGCGCGCTCTCCCGCGACCCTTCGTCTGTGTTTCCCCCCTCCCCACCCTCTTGCGCAAGCGCACAATGCTCGCTTCGACCCCGCCTCTCCCATTTCAATCCTTAAAACCTCAATATAAGGGGCCGCGGGCCGGCGCGACACAATTGAAAGCGCGCGCGGGCGCGCACCCTCGTGCGAGTCGCGGGTGTCAAGAAAACGCAGCGCGCTTGCGCCTCGGAAGGCAGCAGATTTCCCCACCTCCCGCTAGCGCCACGTGACCGAGCCCCGCCCCAACACCGGATCTGTGAAGTAGCCCCGGAGTTTGTTCAGTTTCTTTCTCGTGCGGTCGCGTACGGGATTTCTGTACAAAGCAAAGCAAAACAAACAAACAAAAAAAATCGGGAGGGTGGCAAACCGGGAGGGAAGGAGATAGGGGGGAAAAGGAGGGATCACGCGCACGCGCGCAACCGCCTCGCGCGTAAAAGTAGTACGAGGCGGGTTGGCGCGAGCATTCGGAGGCGCGCGGTAGCGCGCCCCGTCATTCCAAAGCCCGGGCATATCACACGGGTGTAGGTGTGAGGGGCACGCTCCCTTCCGTTACACCCCCGGCCGTCAATCGAGTCCCCAGTCACTCACAGGCAAGCGGGAGGGGCGGGGCGGAGTGGATCTGCCAAGTGGCGCCGCTGCCGCCGCCACTACCGCTGCCGTCGCTGATTAACGGCCGCCCCGCCTCTGCTCCTCCGCTGCCCCCTCCCTGCCTCTCTGTTCCCTCCCCTTCCCGCCGTCGTTGCTTGCTGCCGCCGCTGCCAGCGCCGCCTGAACTGAAGCGAACTCCAGAGCGAACTGAAGAGCAGGAGGCGGTGAAGGCACCACGGCGGCGGCAGCGGCGGGGCTGAGAGTCGTCAGCCTCAAGCAAACGGCAGAAGCGGGAGGGGAGGGAGGCGAGGCGGCGCGGGAGACGAGGCGGAACTACCACCACCAGCAGCAGCGGTGGGAACAACAACAACGGAAGCACCGCCGGTGGCCGGGAACAGCCTTACAATACGCGGCGGCGGCGGCGGCAGCAGCAGCAGCAGCGGGGACTCCTCGGGAAACAGCCAAGTCCGCCGCCCCTTTGCCTGCCTCCTCGCCTCCCTCCCCGCCGCGGAGACAGACCAGGGGGCAGTAGCGCCGAGAAAAGGGAGCCGCGACCAACCTCTGCGTGTGCGGCGAGGGAGAGGAGTGGAAACTACCGAAGACTGCGCCGCTTTGGAGAAAGGCATCCAGTGGGAGCGGCGACAGGAAGCGGCGGCGGCGGCGGTGGAGGAGGATCACTGTACAGTCGGGGTGGTGGAGGAAGACTAGGGCGCAATCCTCTGTGGTGGCGGCGGCTGAGGAGGGTTTGGGGTGGCGGTCATCGAGTTCTCCCCTTTTATTTTCCTCCGAGACCCGCCGCGGCGTGCTTGTGGCTTCTTCGTTGAGGAGACCCCCTTTTTCCGCTCTCTTGTTTTTCTAAGGGGGGGAAGAGGCCTCTCCCCCCCTCAACCCACATAACACACCCTGTTTCTTCCCCGCCTGGCGTGCACCCAGTGCGGTGGTTGGACGAGTGCTGGTGCGGGCGCTTGCTCGCTCTCTGTTTGGAATATGGTTGGGGAAATGGAAACGAAGGAGAAGCCCAAGCCGAGCCCCGATTACCTGATGCAGCTGATGAACGACAAGAAGCTCATGAGCAGCCTCCCTAACTTCTGCGGGATATTCAACCACCTCGAGAGGCTGTTGGACGAAGGTAAAACGCAATTACACAAACTCAAAACGGAACCCCCCCCCCACAAGTAACTCTTCTTTGTAGGTCGGAGGGTGAGGGGGAAAATGGTGGCCCCTGCCCCGGCCTCTCCGCGACATAGATCCGCTTTGCCCTTCCCGTTCCTATCCTGCAAATGGGGGCGGACTAAGCTTTGCGCCCCCTCAATGGCGTCTTTTGGCTTTGCCTCTCTTGCCCATAAACAAAGAGAAGCGGGAAGTCTACACGCAGAAGTTTTGGCCTTTGGGGAGCGATGAACTCTGTACGTCGTTTTATTTTTTTATTTTTGTGTAGATACTTTTCAATCGGCAAACTTTAGTATACAAAATTATATTTTGTAGAAGAAAAAAGTCGGGAGAGGAGAAAGTTTTTTTTTTTTTTTTAAAATGGGATTGTAGCATTCTGAGTTCGTAAATCTTCATTGGAAGTATGAAAGGCAAAGTAGGCCCGATGAAATACTTTTAAGCAACTTAGTCTTTCAGCCTAAACTGTATATGGCTGATTTTTATTTTGAGGTTGGGCGGAGGGACATGAAAAAAGCTGGAGAAACTTGAGGGCTCAGTTTTTATTCAATATTGAGTTGGTTGTCGGCCTAAAGAGACAAAAAACTCTTAGATCCGCGAATAAATATTACGAACTTTATTATCTTCTACCGTGAAGGACATACTGTGTGATTCTCGATTTGAGTATCAAAAGCCAACGCGAAAAATGTTTTTGGAGTCTCTGAATACCCGTTGGTAGTTTTAGGCCGTGTGCGTAATCTCGATCTCCTGCCTGTAGTTAGTTGAGTTCCAAGAAGGTGCAAAATGAATAACTTTGCAGACCGCTGATTTAGGTTTCCGCAAAATAACTTAAAATGTTGCAATTTTTAAACAAATTATTTGGTTTGAGAATTCAGCCAGAAATGTCATAAACAGTATCTTCTTAAATATAAAAGTTTTGAACAGTCTAAAATTCAGTCAAAATCCACTTCTAAAAGTTCACATCTTGAAACGTCCATATTTTAAGAAGATAGGGGAAACTTGGTGACTATCGGCCTCACCATTTGTGAATTAGACTGATAGTGCTTTTCAGGTTCCGTTTGATATTATTTAATCATTACTGTTGAGAAGCATATTCACAGTTGGAACTGAAATATGACATATATTTGAAACATTTTTGGGTTCCTTTGAAGGATATTGTTCAAATAGCAGTTGAGTGTGCATTTGACTAATTCTAGTTTAGATTAAAGTTAATAACATACCCTGGATATCAAGTAAAGAAGCTTGAGTATAAACATTTTATGGGAATAGTTTAGTATAAAGGACTAAACTGCAAAGGAATTTGCAGTTCCTTTTTAAAAATAACTATTTACCACAACACTAACAATGACTTTAAACATTTCTGGAATCATCATAGGGGAATAGAAGCATAATAAAGCTGTAAGAAGAGCAATTGAGAATATTTTTGCCTATTTCAAGAATATATTAAATCACTGAATCTTTTGAATGCTCTTGAAGCTTTGAGCTGTCAGTTTATTTCATAAGTCCAAAATAAGGACTGGAAAATCTAATAATTCAAAAGTCGAATGGTTTGCCCCAACATTATATACGTTTTTTCCTGTACTACTGTTAAATTTTGTTTGTTTAAATCCCTTTAAATCCTGTTTTCTTGTTTGTATTGGCTTCTGGGTGGAAGAACTGCAAACGTTGAAAACTTTCTGGAATGTTAAAAAAATGTCCTATGCAAATAAGTGATTTAAATGTTTTAAGAGATGAACGCTAAGGGGCGCCAGTTCTTTCTTTCTGAAAAAAAGATTAAGATGGTTTTAAATGTTAATATCAAAATCAATGTATTTGTGTTGTATTTAAGACATAAGAAATTAAGTTTAAAACACAAGCATATTCACATAACTTATTTTGATTTTTTGTTGCTTGGGTTAGTGATATTTCTTTCCCCTAAAATATTGCAAAAAGTTTATACAATTGGAAGATGTTAGGAAGAATACATAAACTGTTATTCAGTATCAGTTGCAAATAACTTGTTTTACAGGAATAACATTTTTCCTCAAGATATCTTTAACAGTGGGTTTTTTTTGAAGATTACATTTTTGGAATGCTAAAGATTAATAATATAATACTGTACTTGGGTGAACAAGCAGGAGGAAAGTGAAATACAAAATTTACTTATTCTGCAATTTTTACTTAATATTATTGGTATTTACACTAAATTATCAATATTTGGTTAGCTTATTTCAAGTTTAAAATAAAAAGAAACATATAACATTTTAATGAAATCCTGTTATAATTATTGAAAAAATTGAATATTTTCATATTTCCAAATTCTTATATATGAATGGATGTACTTTTGAAGGAGCATAAACATTTTTTATTATGCACCTTTTTATATTCAAAAGTAAAGAAAGGGAAAATAATAAGATGAAAAGATTTTCATTATTTTACATAATCTATAGCTGTTTCTATAAATGGATAAATATAGTAGCAAAGATTTTTAAAAATGAAGCAATTTCTATTGGTTTACAGTAGCCTATAGAAAGAAGAGGAGGAGTTTTTCTGAGTTTGAAGCTATAATTCCATCAATTACATCTTAAAATTATTGAAAACATATTTTAAAGCTAAAACCTTTTCATTTTTGAAAAGAGAAACCTGTTGATTTCTATTTTCTTGTGTCCTTGTGTTATGAAAATCTATGAACTGAATATTAAGTTCAATGATCCAAATCATTCTTGGCATGAGGGAGAGAGGGAAAGAGAGAGAGAGAGAGAGATGGAGATTAATTTATGTGTATGATATTCTTAAATAATTTTTAAAAACCACTGTCTTAATTGGGCTTCCAAGTTACTTTTTTCAGAAAAACCAGCAAGAAACTGCTATATTACATTTACAAATTTCTCCCCAGCTTTGAAGTGTGTGTGTGATGAATGTTTATTTTTCGTAAATTATAACTTAAACATGTCCTCTTGACCTGTAGTATATATTTATTTAGCTTAATCTTTATAACTACACTCACTTGCACTGATAACTAATGATATAGAGTATAATAAAACCCTTATCTAAAAAATAGGATTTTTAAAAGTTCTATGACTATTGTGTGTATTCTTAGCTAACATTCTTCATTATAAATTATTTAAAACTGATTTGGAAAACTCTAACCCTGAATTTTTATTGTGAATGAATCATAATTAAATGACAATATGCAAAAGAAAAAGTGTTATTACCTTGAATATGATATAATACAACTGAGGACCCAGTTTGTGGGGGCAATTAGCTGACTTGGTATAAATATGCAAAGAAAAGTATGAAGGCTATTGCTTAACGCATTGTAAGCCGCCCTGAGTCTCCGGAGAAGGGCGGCATATAAATCAAATTTAAAAAAAAATACATACATTTGACAAAGACTAAACAGTCAAAATTGACGTGTGTGGCAATTAAGTTTTCAATTTGATCCAACAGCCCAATTTCTGAACAAGTATATTGGTACCACATTATTACAGATCTACTGCATGTGTGAATTCATGCAGTCAATTTTGAGCCTATTTTTAATATATTAAACTGAAATTAATTCAAGTTTCCAAAACGTTCTAAATTTCTCAGCACTTTTACAGTATGTGAATTCTACAGTGTAAATGAGTAGTAGCAGTAGGCAGCCATTTTTAATAATTCCTGAAAGAGCTAATACTAAATTAGGTAATATGTCACTGAGTTTGAGATATTTTAATTAGAATTTTTAATTTTATAATCTATAAAACACAACTAGGTAAGTCAATAGGTAACTAGAAAGTCCAGTGAATATATATTTAAGGACAGCATACAAAAGTTAATTATGTTTCATTAATTATGTTTCATTCTATTACTGAAACTTTCCTCATTGCTAATAATATTACATATTATAGTAATTAAGTATATTATTGTCAGTGAAAAGAAATCTATAAGATTTCCTTAGCAATTTTTTTCTTGAAATTTTATCCTATATTTTTATTTTTTATATTATTTAATATATTTATATTTGCATATTAGTTCATTTACTGCACAAGAAAAATTGCCAGCTATATACAAGCATTCTGGAAATAAGTATTTTATTCAATTTAAGGCATTTATTTTACTTTCCAATGCTGCATTCAAGAAACAATCCCTAATGATTTCCCTAGTGACATGATTTGTTTGGTAGAATTTTTAAATGAGAGAAACAATATGTCTCAGTTAAGGCAATTACATTTTTGAGGAGTCCTGTAGAAACATACCTGTATTAAATGTAAGACACAATGGGTAAGATTTCATTTGAAAGTTGCAGTGCCTAATTAAATATGTTTCTGTACAGATTTTATGTTAAATTTTAAACTTATCACCTATCGATATATATTTATAAAGTACAGAATTGTTAGAAAATCCATGTAGGTGTTTGGTGTGCAGGGATATTATTTTTTTTCTTGATGTATACTAGTAAATTTTATTTATTTGAATGTAGTACCTAGATGTGACTTGCAGAACAGCAAATTATTTCCAGTGTTGGTTTAATAATAGTGGAAAGTCTTGGTAGTCTGTATTCAATATAATGTTGTATATGACAACTTCCTTTGGGATTACAGAGGCATCAGGGTTTTTTAATTTTAAAGCTAAAACCAGCATTTTGGAAAGATACTGAAATTATATATAATTTGAAAATAGCTTCATTAAACCCAAATTATGTATTGACTAAATCAGAACAAGCCATTTCATAGATAGTTTCTGATAAGGTTAGAGCTACTTATGATAGAGCTATTGAAAAAAACATATGTTTAATGATTTTTTGACACTTTGGGTTGAAAGTAAATAAAAATTGTTTCTTTTTTATAAGTTCCATGTAATATATAAGCTTATGACAGTAATGGCAATGCATTTTAAATAAATATAGTTTACTGTAAACTATGTTCTTGCATTTCAAATTCAAGATTTGTGGGTTATGGCTTATTTATATCATTGTTTCCAACTTTAAGATACAAAATACTA